TAGTGCAACATGTAAACACGCTGGCACTGATGTGCTGACAGGAGTTAGTTTACGCCTTGCTGGTTATCTGAAATTTTTTCTAGGTGGCAGCAGGCGTGATAGAGCCGGTTAAAACATGCACAAGTGTGAATATTTGTTACATCCAAATGTGCCAGTTGGAGGATTGTATGATCCTATTCTTTAATATGTACCTAACTCCGACTCTATGCCAAATCATTGACATTAGTGAACAGAGCCCATGAAAAAAAACTGGTCTATTTCCTCCTCACAATTGTTTGTTAGTAAAAAGAACCTAAATCCAAGTTCTCATGTCAGTCATAGTGCAGGAATTTCTCAATCACACAACACTCCGTGAGCACTTTTGGTTACATCTGAATTCATTTAATCTCTGAAGGGAGTTTGTTCCAGAGCATATGTTTGGATCTGAGGGCTGTTTGAAGGCAGATGTAGTTCCTGGCTGCATCCTTTCAACAAACTGCCTCCTAGTAATTGGCCATTACTCCAGAACTGAGAGACGTGCTGTCCAGAGGGCAACTACACTTGTCTGGAAACAATCATGGAGTTAGCAGCCTGGCAGACGGCCTTGTCACTGGAATAAGCCTCTCCTGCTGCGCCTTTTTTTTCTTCAAGCCTGACAAAGGAAAATGGCTGCTAAGCAAAATGTAATTATTTGGACTCATGACATTCAGTGTCCACCTGAAAAACAGTGGTAGTCTCTCATTAGAGTGTTTTATGAATGGACTTATTTATAACATACATGACAGTTTATGGGAATTTCCTCACACAAATTCACAGAAACAATTTACTGAGAAGATGAAACGCTTCTCAAAAAAAAAAAAAATACAATGCAATCAATCAAAACCTGTATCTTGGAAATCTAATAGAACCTTTGTTTGAAGATCAGGGCCGCATGATAATTCTTTTACACACCAATACCAAAACAGTTAACTATTTACGTCCAAAGGCAAATGGCTAGGAACAGATTCTTGGGAAATTTAAAAAAAATTAAGAATATAGTTTGTTCCATTTGGTCAGTGATTGACTGCTACACATTTTGATCAATGGTTAACAAACCAAGAGTATATTTTTTTATGAATCCATGAAAAAGGATATTGCTACATATTTCAAGGCAAATAAGTACATTTTTATTCCTTTTTTTTAGAAACTAAGATTTTTTTCAAATTCACATTTTGGCAGAAGACTTTATATAAAAATATTTCTAAAAAATTTTCTAACTCCCTAATTTTAGCAGAAACATGTAGAAAAAGATAACATTTTTAAAAATATATTTTTGTCAAATTTTAAAAAATCAAAAAAATGTTTTCTAAACATTTTTAAAAAATAACTTTCTAGACATTTTGCATGGACGTCACTTGGACATCACTTGGACGTCACTGGATGTCACTTTGACGTCGCTTGGACGCAAAAAAATTTTCTCAAGATTTCTGAATTTTTTTTAAGATTTTCTTAAAATTTTTCCAAAAAAAATTGTTTTCTAACAATTTTTTTTAGAAATTGTAAAAAATTTTTTTTTTTCTAAAAAAAATTTTTTTTTCTAAAAAAAAAAATCTTGAAAAACAAGGGATGTTTGTTTTAGGAAACATTTTTTAAAAAATATATTTTTTG